GAACTCACTCTTACAATGCCCTCTCCCCACCTCCCACCTCCCTCCACATGATATACAAAGTACAAAACCAGGCTCATTTATTCTTCTTTTCCAATAAACGAGTCTTCGCGGTAACGTCGTTCACCGTAATATCGTTTTTTGCATTCGCGGTAATGTCGTGTCACGGTCGTTTATAATTCTTTTTCTTTTATAAACGTAAAGTATCTCGTTTTCTGTTTTGTAGGACAGCAGAATAGTAGAATAGTGAAATAGTAGCATTGTAGACTAGGAGAACTGTAGAATAGTAGAATAGCAGAGTAACAGAATAGTAGAGGAGCACAATGGTAGAATAGTAGGATTGTGGAATACGAGAATAGGAGGATAGTAGCAGACCAGAATAGCAGAATAGTGGAATACTAGAGTAGCAGAATACTGGAGTAGTAGAGTGCTAGAATAGTAGAATACGAGTATACTGGAATAGCAGAATGTAGGAGAATAGTAGATTTGTAGCATACCAGAATATTAGAATAGTTGAATACTTGAGGAGCAGATTTGTGGAGTAGTTGAATGCTAGAATGGTTGAATACTAGAGTAGTACATTACTAGACTAGTGTAATACGAGAAGAGTAGGACACTGGTGTTAGATAGACATTTGTTCTCGGTGGAACTGTATTTTATACAGTCACTTTCTCGCCGCATGTCATTGTTTTTTTCATTCGTAATTTCTTTCCATTAGTCAGTCACTTATGTATGGTGTGATATTACTCCTTTTTGTTACACAATTCATCTTTTTGTATAGTTTTTATCTGTCTCTCTTTGACGCTTCGTTTGTCTGACTCGCACCATATATACTGACAGATGTTATTTAATGGGCACGTTGGTTTCTAGCGTTTGTATTTCATTTTAATAGTATGTTAATTATTCTGTAAGTTTATATGATAAATTTATCAAAAGTAATCCGAAATTGGTGTCTCGAATCAAAGCTCTGTACAACCTCGGATCGGCTACGTTTCAGGGGTGGAGATGCCGACCTGTTGTCGAATCGTCATCACAACATTATACAAATCCAGATAGTTCAAACGGCTTAACTTTCGGGTTTTGTATGTCGACATTCCAACGATGAGCTATCATTACTCGTTCCGTATCAAAATTAAATCGAGGACAATACGACAACAACAACTGTGATTCAAAGGACAGTCCCTTAGATAGCCTATCAGAAATTGAGACAGTTATGACAGCAACAACGATGAGTGGTCCAACACTCATTACCTCGGCATTAAAAATCGAACAGTTTAGTGGGGCAAATGCACAAGATCCAGAAAATTGGGTATCAGATTTAAATGATGCATTTGATGGCGGTGATACTAAAGAAGATCGTCGTCGCAAATTATTGCCATCATATTTGGGTGGAAATGCAGAAGCATGGTATCGTCAAAATCAAGAAGACTTAGCAGATAGAAATTGGAGCGAAATTCAACAAGAATTGATAAAACAATTTACAACAGCATTAGCAAAACCAACAGCTTTTAATGAGTTAGTGAACCGCCGACAAGGTGTGAAGGAAACCGTGGATACGTATTATTATTTAGTGCTAACGCTATGCGCTAAATTTAATCCAAAAATGTCAGTCGAGGATAAATTAATGCATTTACAACGTGGTTTACGTCAATCATTTAAACAAGCAGTAGCAATGGCATTGCCAAAAACTTGTCAAGAATTCTTGCTGGTTGCACAGATATGGCAATAAAATGCTCCACTCATCATATTAGACGAAAGAACAACAGTTAGTGAGATAACTACTACAACACAAATAACGGGCCAAGAAGGTCTAGGAGAAGACGAAGAAGTGAATTATGTGTCAACGAGGCCACGTAATCACAAGCGTAATCAAGAATATCCATTGCAAAGCTGTTCAACGCGTAATAATTCTCACTCATCATTCAGAGATCGAGGTAATCAACAAGGTCATTCATATCGCGGTGGTTATTATAATAATCCATCAGCGAATCGAAGTTTTCATCCACAACAAGATAGCTCTTGGTTGCAAAAACGATCATCAGGTCTTTCCAGGAGTCATCAGTTTAATCGCCCAGAATCAAATCTGCAGGGTAGTCAGAATTATTACTTATGTGATCAACCCGGCCATTTAGCACGCGCTTGTTTAAACTACCAATGGTGAGCCAGGAGAGAGGCGTCACCGTATATTTTCAAAAACCCTCAACCGTTAAAATTCAGGTCCATATAGGTGGTACAGAAATAGCAGCATTAGTAGACTCAGGTGCGACCACTAGTATAGTAAGCGGTAAATTTATTAGATCAGTACATCAACAAACAATTTATCCTTGGTCATTAGCATGTGGAACAGTAAATTCATTTACAATTTCATACAAAGGCGGTGACATTCCTGAATGTAGACATTGATGGTATACAAACACAAATAGTGGCTCATGTATCAAATGAGTTAACACCGACAGATTTACTTTTAGGAGGTGATTGGTGTGATAAACGTAATGTGGACATTAGCTTTCGGTGTCATCATGTCATATTCGAAGATGAACAACGAAGGATACATTCAGTACCATTCATTGAAAATCCGATTAGCCCGGACAAACACTTAGTACGTATTGACCAGGATATAGTGATTGAAACATATTCTGCATGTTACATTGAATGTGGTACAACAGCGCCAGATTGTATAGCAGCAATATTTTATCCAAATCCAAGATTACGTGATAAATCTTTATTGATTTTACCTTATATCATTGTGCAAATCGAAAAAGGTAAATTAACAATATCAGCGGCTAATCTAACAAACAAGACTCGCACAATTTTTAATGGTACATCATTGGGTATTCTGACATTAGCGGCGGAAGACCAACGTTTCAATATCAATGTATCTAATCATATTGAGAAAACACCACCAGATCCATTGGTGGAATCAGAGTTTGCAGCATTAGTTAAACATATTCCACAACCACACAGAACAAAATTACTAGATATATTGAATAAACATGTTAAAATATTTGATCCGAATGAACCATTGATAATTAATCAGGATTTACCCCGACATCAAATCGATACAGGCTATCATCGCCCAGAAGTTTCAAGACCATATCATGTGGGTTTTAAAGAAAGAGAGGTTCAATGCGAACAGGTCAAACAGATGTTAAACGACAACATTATTCGTGAATTGAATAGCCCATGGGCATCACCGGTAGTGATAGTGAAAAAGAAAGATGGCAGTCCAAGATTTTGCGTGGATTATCGGCGTCTTAATAATGTCACAATAAAAGATCGTTATCCAATGCCACGCGTTGATGATATATTTGATCGCTTATCCGGATCACGGTACTTTACAACATTAGACTGTCGACAAGGTTATTGACAAATTCCACTGGTGGAGCACGACAAATACAAGACGGCTTGCGTTACTATGGACGGGTTGTTTTAATGAAATGTTATGCCATTAGGCTTGGTCAATCGTCCCGCCACTTTTCAGAGAGTCATAAATTCTGATCTAGCACAACACCGTTGGGATATTGCTATAGCCTACCTGGATGATATAATTATATTTTCGAAAACATTAGATGAACATCTAACTCACATTAACCGCGTATTAACAACATTAGCACAAGCAAAATTTAGAATTAATTTAAAAAAATGCAATATTGTTAAAACACCGAATTAAAATATTTGGGTCATGTCATCAACGAAACGGGTATTCATCCTTGTCCAGAGCATGTGAAAGAAATACAAGATTTTGCATGCCCAACAACGATTAAAGGTGTACGTTCATTCTTAGGAATGGCATCATATTACAGAAAATTCAATAAAAATTTTGCTTCAATCGCTGCTCCTCTTCATCAGTTAATGGGAGCTACAAAATCATCGAAAGAACGACCAAGAAGAGCAAGTCATAATACATCAACAATTGTATGGAGACCCGAACATCAAGAAAGAGAAACATTAAAAGAGAAGCTGATTAACCCACCAGTATTAGCATTTCCAACAACAAACGGTATATTTAAATTAAACTTATATACTGATGCATCTAAGTATGGGATAGGCGCGATATTACGTCAACAACAACCTGATGGTGAAAAAGTCATTGCATACTTATCAAGACGGTTGTCAATCCCAGAAAAAAAATATTCAACATCGGAACACGAGTGTTTAGCGGTTGTATAGGCATGTGGAAAATTAAGACCATATTTATATGGTAATCGTTTTACGGTAACAGCGGATCATCACCCGTTGTGTTGGTTGAACAAGAAACTATCAAACAACAGCCGACTAGCACGATGGTCGTTACAATTACAAGAATTTGAAATGGATATTAAACATAAATCGGGAAGGCTCCACCGTGATGTAGAATACAGAACAGCGGAATAGCAGAATAGTAGAACACTAGTATAGATAGGAGAACAGCAGAGTAGTAGAATACTAGAATAGCAGAGATGCAGAATAGCTGAATAGTAGAATACTACAATACTAGAATACTAGAACAGTAAAATACTAGAACAGCAGAATAGTAGGCACACGGAATAGTAGTATACTCGTGTCTTGCTTGCAGGGTTAGAAAGAGGTTATGCGAATGACTAAAAGACTGTGAAGTGCCTCAAATGATGACATGTGGAACAGACGAAATGTGTAAAACGTGAAATGATGAAATGTGTGAAAAGATCAATAACAGAATAGCAGAATAGTAGATAGTAGAATACTAGAATACCAGAAAAGCAGAATGCCACACTACTAGAACTGTGGAATAGTAGAATAATAGAATAGTACAATACTAGAATATTAGCATACAAGAGTAGCAGAATAGCAGAATAGCAGAATAGCAGAATGCTAGAATCGAAGAATAGCACAACAGCATAACATAGGAATAGAATACTAGAGTTGCAGAATAACAGAGCAGCAGAATAGTAGAATACTAGAACAGCAGACACACAGAATGATAGTACACTCGTGTCTTGCTTACAGGGGTAGAAAGAGGATATGTGAATGACTAAGAGAACATTGGTTTATAATTTTGAAATGAATGAAACGGCCTGAAATGCTGAAATGTGGAAAAGACGAAATGAGCAAAAGGTGAAATAATGAAATGTATGAAAAGGTGAAACGTGAAATGCTGAAATGTGTGTAAAGATGGAATGTCGAAATAAAGTATATCGTGGAATCTCCCCTCACCCTCACTAGAATAGCAGAATAGCAGAATATTAGAATAATTGAATAGTAGAATAGTAGCATACCAGAATAGGAGAATAGTGGACTGACAGACTGCTAGAACAGAAGAATACTACAATAGTAGAATAGCAGAATAGTAGGATACAGAATACCAGAACAGCAGAATAGCAAAATAGTAGAATAGCGGAATAATAGACTAGTAGCGTAGAACAATAGTAGGATAGTAGAATTGTAGAATATTAACATACGAGAATACCAGAATAGCAGAATAGTAGAATAGTAGAATACAAGAATAGTAGAATACTAAAATAGGAGAATAGGAGAATACTAGAATAGTAGAATAGTAGAATGCCAGACCACCAGAATAGGAGAATACTGGAAGAGGAGAATTGTAGAATAGAAGAACAGCGGAATAGTAGAATTGCCTCAGACCATGAAATATAGAAAAGGCAAAATGCGGAAAAGCTGAAATGGTGAAATGCATGTAAAGATCGAATGACGAAATGTAGTATATCGTAGAATATCCGAAAAGAGGTAAAATATGAAAAGATGAAATGTGCAAAACGTGAAATGGTGAAACGTTAGGAAAGATCAATAATAGCATAGGAAAGTAGTAGAATAGTAAATAGCTGAATAGTCGAATACTAGTATAGCAGAATAGCAGCTTTCTCGAATCGGGCTATGGTGGAATGATAGACTACTAGAATAGCAGAATAGGAAAATAGTAGAATAGTAGAGTGGCGGAATGGTGGAATAGCAAAATACTAGAATACTAGCATACTAGAATAAAAGAATGCTTGAATAGTAGAATACTAGAGTAGCAGAATAGTAGACACACAGAATAGTAGTACACTCGTGTCTTGCTTACAGAGTTAGATAGAGGATATGCGAATGACTAAAAGAAGATGGTATTTAATTTTGAAATGAATGAAACGGTGAAGTGCCTCAAATCTTGAAATGTGTAAAAGCTGAAATGATGAAATGTATGACAAGATGAAACGTGGAAAACGTGAAATGATGAAATGTATGTAAAGATGGAATGTCGAAATCTAGTCATTAGAAAATTATGTACTTTTTCCGCGCTGCACCAAATTAGGTAAAAATTGGGCGCTATGTGCAAAATTTTTCGGTGAATCCGACAACGGGTTCCTTATAATTATACTTTGACTTCTTCTCTGGTGTCGACATAATCTACGTGGTTTTTGCCTAAATTTTATATTTCTCATTGGCGCTTTTTTTTCAACCAATGAGAAAAATAAAATTTAG